ATGTGGCTACTGCTGGGCCATAAACTAGAGCTGGAATGGGGTAAGAGCTATGTACCTTCCACTTGCCCTGGGTAGGGAGTGGGGATAAGGGCCAAGAGCTGCTCTCAGGCCCCTCAGCCCCCTGACAGTTGGAGGTTGCCTGGGATGACCAATCCAGTTCTGACTTGGTTGCAGAAGGGGAGTCTCAGGAGGAAGAGGAAGGGCAGGGATTGGGCCACAGAGGGGACAGAGCCTCGTATCCCCCCCCTTTAGAGTCTGTCCCTCCTATCCTCTAGTCCCCCTGCTCCAATGACTCAACTTTAAATATTCACAGTGAAACAAGCTTCAGTAGGAGAGTTAGGGAGCCCCACATTAGACTATCTCTTAGCCCATGCTTAGGGCATGCTCAAAAGAGGTTGCAGATCCCTATTCAAATTCCTTCTCTCCCACAGGGGCAGGAGGGATTTGAACCAGGTGCATATCTTAGTCACTGGGATCATAGTTATGACTGAGGGAGGTGGTCCTCTTCTCGCTTTTAGGGAGAGCTCTTACCCCAGTAGTTGAACTCTAAACATGTTTACTGGTTCTGGTCCCACAGACAAGTTAGGTACGGGGATGTCTATTTTTGTGAATTGCTCTGGGGCTCAGGGGTCCACGCTGTGTTCATGTGAGAGATACACAAATATAGGTGACTAGCATAGTGTTTGACTTCTGTATTTGCGAAGGCAGCTCCAGTCAGGCATCTGGGCCACAAGTGGTAGGACAAATTCTGTGCCTGCCAGGGGGTTGCAGTTGTGTGTGTTGGAGAGGGAGGAGGGGATGTATTGTCTAGATAACTTTTATGGCAGAGATTTTTGTGCCTAGTGAATTTAGGCATCCGTAGTTTTTAGGCACCTGCAGCAGAATAGGGTTTTTATCAATCCCACTGGAGTCTGAGTCTGGGGGTTTGATACGTAAAGGGGATGTTTGGTGCATAAGTCTTTTGTGAATGTAGCTCTGTGTGTCCTAGGTTCTATGTTGCTAATAAACTTTTAGTTCAAGTGGATGAGTCCCATGTTTGTGAAGAAGGAAGAGCTAAGTATTACCACCTTTCTTATTGAGAAGTCCTGAATGAGCATGGTGTACAGCAGAACATATCTAGCATCTGTATTTGTATAGCACTTTGCATGATGAGGTCCTGGTCCATGACTGGCAATTGTATGAGGTTGTTACAGAATCATCCCCATTTTACAGAGGAAAAGCTGTTAAGTATTTCCCAAATCCTTGAAGAGTCTGTGCCAGAATAGTGATTAGAAATAGCAGTTTTCAGATCTCAGTATTGCGCTCACACCCATTAGACCACTAGAATGAGTCGAACTCCATGGTTGGTACACGTTGCATGCATACCCATATGTACATTTGTAAACTTTTTAAACTGCACAACGTATGTCTGTTTTGCAAACAAGTCTCTGTGTTATTTCTTATCCCAGTATATGTGCGCCTCTCAACAAAATGTTTTAGGCTTTTATTTAGTTTAAGTTTTTTATGGTTGTAACTTTTAGGACAATTATGTATGTTTAATATGTATCTGTTTCTAGCCTTTTTTTTAATAGAGTGGATAGAGTACATAAATTCTAATTGTTTTAAAGATGCTGTAATGCAATAAATCAAACTATAATTTGATATAGATTTTCAGTTCTTCCTTTTGAATGGGGAATGACCATCAATTGTCTCTAAAAATCATATGAGTCCATTTTACAATAAAAATATTTACAGGCTGTAAATATAGCAAAATTCTGTTGCCGTGTCTTACATGGCAATTGTGTTTCAAGTCAAAAGAGATTTCAGACTACTTTAGTACATCAATTAAACATGATTACATGTATCTCAAAAAAATCCATATAGTATTATTTTAAATAGTTAACATACAGTATTTCAACAGGGGAAATACTTATTAGATCACCACAATCTATTTTACGCCATCAGCATTGCAAAGGGGATTATAATTGTGTTAAATTTTCATATTACTCATATTCACACATTAATGAACAGATGCATCGTTACTATTGGGATTTTGCCATTTGGCCTTTCACATCCTTAATCATGAATTTCCTACTGAGATCTTTACCGTTCTAGTAAAAATTCAGTCATTGATACATGGCTGTCCATTGAATTCATTATTCTTAGCTTGTTTGTTGCAGCTCTTCCTGAATTACCAGTAGAGTCGGGTTGCAAGAACAGTAATTTGTAACATGAGTTGTTTCATTACAGTCAATAAGTTTACATTGACAAAACAAAACCAAAAAAGTCTCTAAAAAAATAGCATCAAACTTAATCACAGACACTCCTGTCCTGGTTTATGCATAGAAAGTTAACTATGATTTCTGATCACCTTCCAAATAAAATGGTCTTGAAAGAACCATTCATTTGGAGGGACTGTTTGTCACAAGGAAGGTAATTGTAGTAAGTTGCTGTGTAGCTGAGCTGTGTCTCCGTTGGTAGCTAATATAGCGGTCTGCAGTGAACCTGGAGAGTTCTGTAGGCTTCAGAAACCAGGCTACTGTTGCTTTAACTCTGCAAGTTAGACAGAAGTCTTCTGTTTCTTTACCAGCACACTACAGCGAATATTTTGTCTAGCTGCAGGGGAAAAGCTTTGTCATGGACTTTGCTGACAATAGACTTAAAAGTAAAATGGTCTACTTTTGGTGCCTGGAGGTTCTGTAGCCTATTGTTAGTTCACAGGCTTGCATTATTCTCTTATATTCTTCCCTGGCCAGTCCTTGAACAGAGCTGCATTTCCTGAAATGAAAAGGTTTGTTAGCTTTTAATGACTGACAATCTATTGCAAATACCTCATTGACTCTGGCCTGTTTACATGCTACTCAAGAATTTTTTAAAAACACTGGAAAAAGAAAACAGCAATGTTTATTTGACCTATTCAAGATATGGTTTAAAAAATGGTTTCCTTCATGAAGTGTTTACTGGGAAAGTACAAACTTTGGAAGTATTTGTAAAAGCCTCTAAAGCACAGTGGAATCTTCTTATCATGAACTCAGAATTTTAAAATGTTAACATGCAGCTTCTCATAGCTATTTCATTGTGATCTAATTGTAATTTTGAGCTTGTAATGAAATCTTCTATTAATGTAGTTCTTATTTTTACAAAAAAAGGTAGCATAAAATACTACCATTTAAAGAGCAGAATTCCTATAATTATATTTTAAAAATATTAAACTGGAAACTGAACATTTTAAGGCTAGTGCGTGTGAGAGAGAATACATACATTATGTGATACTGTATTGTATTATATTATTAATGTTAGTTTATGAAATAAAGATTTTGAGTTGTTCACTTTCATTTTCTACAAATCCTTTATAAAGACTCAAATGTTATTATAATATTGGTATTTTTTGAAAGAGAAGGAGGAGACCTTTGATTTTTTGTTGTTGTTGTTGTTGTTATAGGAAACTGCATTCAGATTTTGCGACACTGATTCCTGAGAGCTTTAAGTTAGGGGCTCAAGAAGGTTGGCAAAATTAGCCAAACAAGATAATGAAGGCTCCTCATAAAGCTTTTTACTGTGGGGAAAATTAACCAGTTGCTAATAATTGCATGGTCCCTAGGCCAGACGGTCCCTTTGATAAGTTAACATGTACTCCTTTTATGCTCCTGGTAGGGGGTAAACAAATGCCTGAACAAATACAAATACACATAAACACAAATGTGGAGAATAGCAGTATATGTCTTAGATCCAGATAATAAGTGTGGGTATTGTTATTTAGATGGCGCATACTGGGACACTTATCTTTTAGTACACTCCATTTTCTAACTGAATGCAGTACTAATCGTGGGATTGAAAGCCATTGTAATTGTGTACCCATCTAAATGCTGACAAGAATATACAATTACATTGTTTGGAACTGAGTTTAATGTTCTCTGAATTTTATTAGCATTTATATTTACTTATGCATTAAAATTCCACACAAAAAAGAGGTCAAATTGCAGGAGTCAGACACATAAATATCGGATCCATCCACACCCTCGGTGTATTTTCCCCTGAAAATACTGAACGAATATATCTTCTTATAAAAAGGAAGTGATAGAAATCTGAAATGAGAAAATAATGGTTTTCCATTCTAGGCATTGCTCCCTCCCATTTCTGGATTTTTCAATATTTGTAAGGCTTTCTGTCACATCAAACTTTATTATTATTGCTATTTATTTATTTATTTATTTATTTGCAATGTCTGAGTTTGTGTGTGTTACTGGAAAGCCTTTCCACGGTGTACTTACCACCGCACAATGTTTAAACACACATTATAAAGTAGATGTGATTGTAAACACACAGAGGGATATAATTACATGTAGCAGATTTAGGAGCTAATTCTTTGCCTTTTTTTTAACTCTGCATTTTATCAACATAATCATTTTTGACTGCAGACTAACACTCTGAAATTGACAAGAATCCATTATAAGCTGAACTTGCTCACTAAATTGAAAAACAATGAACTGCAGGTTTATATGTGCCCATTGTCATACAGAATTACTATGGCTTTGTTCCGCAAGAGGAAAAAGCTAATGATTTTGAAACAGCAGGTGACAAAACACATTTCCCCCCCCCCTTATCACTTTGTTGATGAAGTCATTACAAATTGGGGCCCAGAATAGGGTTGGCCTTATTTTTAGCAGATAGACTTTTAATGAGTTCTATTGTGGAGCCAGTGATGTTGATTTTCTTGCATTTTTTCCCTCCCTTCTTTCAGAAACTCCCAGTATTGAAAAGCTACTATCAAAGGACTGGAAAGACAAGCTTCTTGCCATGGGATCAGGGAACTTTGGAGAAATAAAAGGTAACATTGTCACTGTGATCCTACAGAGTAAAATGAAACAAAAATAAAATATCTGTGTGTATAACTAGCAGTATGAAACTTTACATTTTTTGTTTTGTTTCTCATTTCTTTGTTTGTTGGCAGTTTACAATCGCCCTGTGTGATTTTTAATAAATCGTGGCATGTAGTTCTAAATGAACAATCCACCTTCATTTATATAACAAGGCTTTTGTTCCATTTTTTAATTCTGTTTATCAGTATAACGGGAGTCTATTATAGGATTCACATAAAACTCAACAGAGATTTTCACAGTTTGTATTAATACAGTGTTTAGCATCCATCTACAGAAGGAACTACACATCAGAAGGAGATCAGAGGTGTTTGCTGTTGTTTGTGCAGATTGTGATACTATTGTGCAAAAGATGAAAGGGCAAAGTTTTTGTAGTGATGCCTCTAGGCACTGAAATTAACTTGTGCGGATAATAAGGGACAGCACACTATATCTGTGTATTAAAACATGTTCCTTTAAAGCTGTAGAAGGAAAATGCAAAAGGTGACCATTGTCCAGCAGTAATGCTCTGTTTTGCCACAATATTTCCCTGTCTTATATATGTGAGGACATTTTAGGAAACTGATAGTTTATTTTTATACAGTATTTGTGCTCCAAATAAGTGTCAAACTTGATATAATTTCCAAGGTGTAAAGAAGCCAATATTTCCTTTAAAGAAAATAGTGTGAGACTCCCACTTACTGCACAGTAAAGTCAGATGGGGCTATTCTAATCTGACCTCCTTTGTGACACACAACTTCCCCAAGTTGATTCCTGTTTGAACTAGAACATGTCTTGCACCACTTACATCAATGTAAATCCAAAGCAGCTCCATTAAAATAAAAAAGAATATACCAGTGTAAAATGGTGTGAGATCTGAATTAAGTTCAATTTATTTTTTAATAGACCTAGTTTTCCACAGTTGCGTTACCTGTGTTGAGGCAAACCCTGAAGTCCTTATTCAGAGAAATTCCCAAAAACTTACTCCAGATGTTTTTAAGGACCTATTTCACAGTGCACAATGACACTCAGTAAAACATACAGTAAAATGTTGAAAGAAAAGCTGGCAATTCACTTGAATCCTAAAAGGCAGTCTCTTAGAGAATAATTCATAGGTTTACACTAAAACTTAGTATTTTATTCATATGCTCCTTTCAGCTTGTCACAAATAAGCCACCAGCACTAGCTTGCTCTGGTCCACTGACTTATACATGGGGGAAAGTATACCTTTGGCTTCCCCAACTTCCTTAGCAAGGGCCTCTCATTTTTATGAGTCCAAGTATATCTGTTACACTTATTTGATAACTTAATGACAAAACTCAATATTTCAGCACCAGGCAGGCTGAGATATTACACTTATTAGAAGTGAGCCAGATTTTGAGTTCCTTCCTTAATCTTAGCAAATGCAAAACCACTTGAGCACACTTTCCCCATATGCATGAGTCAATGGGCCAGAGAGTGCTATAGCTAGTATCTTATGTGTGATTCTTATATATAAAGATGTATATGAATTAGGGATATAATAATGTAGTTGATTAAGCAAAAGCTTATAGGTTAATGACATAGACTACACGCATTTCCCCTCCACCCCTTCCCAGTAAATTTTTTAGCAAGCTGGCCAGCAGCCCGGCTCAGTTCTAACTTGCTCGTGGTCCTGGACCTACCCCCGCTGCGGCTCTGCCTTTAAAGTGTATTAGGAACCAGGCAGGCAGGCAGCCCTGCTCAGTTCCAGCTCACGCTGGGTCCAGGAGTTCAGACCCCTCACCCCCAGACAAGGGCTTCCCAGGGACTAAAGAATAGTCGACTAACTGATAGGAATTCATGAGGTTAATCAACTATTCAGTTAACTGATATTTAAACATCCCTAATATGAATATGATTCAAGTTACTCTACAATGTGGGGTTAACTGACTGATAAATCCTTGAGGAGTAATCTTTAATGAGTTTTTAGGCTGAGGGTCTGTAGACGGCTTTCATTTCAGCTTTCTGTGTTGTGTTGCTGCAGTAGCCAATACAGTTCTCTGGAACTTCTTTAACCATTGAGATGCTGGAGTTTTTTAAAAAATTACTCCCTGTGATCCTCCACTCTCTTTGGACTGAGTAAAGACTCTGAAGCATGCTCTGTACTAAGAAGTCAGTCTCTTCCAAATCCCTATGATCTTGTTCTGTTGGAGGGCAGTCTTTTTTCTCCCTTTTTCTCTTTCCCCTTCACAAGTTAAACATGAAAGCCGTAGCAACTTTAAGCTAACACGAAAGAAATTCAACAGCTCTTTCAGTCTTGCCTGGGGGGCAGGGAGAGGATGGGGAGCAACACCGCAGCCTCAAAGAAGAGATTTCTTGCTTTAACTTTTTGGTTTTTTAAATTTCATACTTTGAAGACAAGTTGAGTTATTGTTTCATAGTTTTGTTCAAAGCCTCACACTCAATGCACATTAGTGGCACTGTGGTTCTATGGCTGGGAGCATGGTTATTAGGTGTTTGGATCAGGTTTGGCAGTAAGCTGTGAAAACAGGCGCTGGTTTATTTTTCCTACTGACTGCAGTGACAGTTGCAATTATTGTCCATTGTTTGTAGGTGGCTAGAAAGAAGGGAGGATACAATAGAGTGTTGCCTTCTGGAGGTAAATGAATTTGACTTACAGGTTCTTGGGGGGTCATGCAGGCTGATTATTTAGTGCCCAGGAATGTGGTTTTCATGCCACTGCAGCCATGAGTGGCTAGCAACAATAGGTCAGCAGTACTGCAGCTGTATTTAGTGAGATGACATGAAAGGTGTACAAGTTGAACTGTTTTACACATACACACACACATGCGCATTGTACTGGAAAGAAGTAATGTTTTATTCCTGCTCTTTGAACATGGGGTTATTAATAGTTTTTCAGTTGTAAGTTTTAAATTAATTTCTATAGATCCAAATCTAGATCTCTATATCTATATTTGGCCTGGCAACTGGATTTTTTTTAATCTCTTTTAGTGATATTTGGAAACACGTTCTCAAATAGTAGAGTTTTATTAGGATACTCTGGAATATGTACAGGACTCAAAAGGTTTTGCCCAACTATTTTGTATAGCAAATAGTTGCTTATTGTTTTTGTCAGGATTATATCATTACCGTTGAATTATATTCTCTTGTAGAGACAAAAAGCAGAGGAAGAGTAGAATTTAGCAAGAATCTTTATTTTTATGTAATTATTATTTCTTGTAAATAAGCAAACAGTAATATTTTACCAAAGGTAGAGAAGTATTTGCATTAGCTAGAGCAACCACAAACTACATCAGGATTCCTTAGTTCTAATCTCAATTCTTTCGCTTACTTGTTCTGTGACTTTCAGCAAGTCTTTTAAGATCTCTTTCTCAATTTACTCATTTTTACAATGGGAGATACAATGCTTACTCATCTTTCAAGAGGTGCTGAGAAACCTAATTATTTGCTGGATAATTTAAAATATCAGTAGACTTCCAGAACCCATATCTATAAAAATTGAATTAACCAAGTCTATCTCTTGTGTGTGTGTGTGTGTGTGTGTGTGTGTGTGTAAATTGAATTAACCAAGGCGGAGATATGCAGTAATGGGGGGGTGGAAGAAAAGTACAAGCCTGAGGATAGAGACTTCCAAGAGATCGTATTTTGAAAGTCACACAATTTTGAATCTGCTGAAAGCAAGAGAATCTATGGAACACTAAATTAAATTCCAATATAAGATGAACTTTAATTCCTTTTCCAACACCAAGCAATTAAGCTGCTTAAAATATTTAAAATATCTATTGAATTAAATGTTTTAAAAGAAACTTTCTATATCTGCCATTATTGGAAATGGGCTCAGAAAATCCCCTTGGATTAATCATAGATAATATACATTATTGGGTGCAGTGAAGCAGGATGAGTTTCAGAGATAAACCTGATCATTTACAGAAGTCAGATTTCCTCTCAGTTCAGCACAGCACATTAGCTTCCATGCAGTATAAAGTGAGAGTTGTAGTCTTCCTCCATATAGCATTAATATTGGATAAAGCAGAAGGAGTATATCGGATAGACCAGTGATGTGCAACCCGTGGGTTGCAACCCCCAAGGGGGTCATGGATGTCTTCCTGGGGGGTCGTGGTGCTTAGATCCAGCCAGCCGGGGACTGGGCCCGGCAGTTGGCAGCCCCGCTGGTGTGGCATCTAGATCTGACCTTCCAGGGGCTGGGCCCAGCAGTTGGCGGCCCCTACAGCGCAGGGGACGCAGATCAAAAAAGGTTGCGCATGACTGGGATAGACCAATATGGTGAAATATTGCAAATCCTAAATTTGTGCGAATCTACCATCTCCACACTTGGAAAATGTTATTTCAGTTCCACCAGTGCTGACATTGTTGGAAGACTTATTGTAGATGAGGTTTCAGCTAATGTAACCCCATCAGGATCCTGGTTAGACCAGCTCTGAGCAGGTACAGTGAGAGCATCAGCGGCCTTCCACACTAGGCTTTCCAGTGTGATGCTAACACTACTGGGTTTCAACCAGCATTAGTTATGGTGAGAAAATTTCCTAGCATACTCAAGACTTCTGTGTTAACCTCATGTATTTCCCATTTGCCAGAAGGTAGTGGATTTTGATATGTTGTCCTCCCACTTAGCTAATTTTGAATGAGTTTAGAGAATGACAAAAGTTTGAGCTGGTGGGATGGGACGCATGATTGGAATGTTGGTATGGAAGGGTACGGCTTGCTCAGGAAGGACAGACAGGGAAAAAAGGGAGGAGGGGTTGCCTTGTATATTAAAAATGTACACACTTGGACTGAAGTGGAGATGAACGTAGGAGATAGCTGTGTAGAGAGTCTCTGGGTTAAGCTAAAAGGGGTAAAAAACGAGGGTGATATCATGCTAGGAGTCTACTACAGGCCACCTAGCCAGGTGGAAGAGGTGGATGAGGCCTTTTTTAAACAATTAACAAAACTATCCAAAGCCCAAGATTTGGTGGTGATGGGGGACTTC